CAATGTTAGTTCTACAATCTCTGAGAGGCTGTCCCGATCTATTCCTTGTGCTGAGTGTTCTTGCTGCAGCCCTGAAATGTTATAGTCCTATAACCTCTGAGCAGTCCTGACATGCCATAACGGTTTCAGTTCTACAATCTCTGAGAGGCTGTCCCGGTCTGTTCTGAGTGTTCTTGCTGCAGTCCTGAACTGTTATAGTCCTATAACCACGAAGCAGTATTGTTTCTGCTAAGCGGTTTCGGTTCTACAATCGCTGAGAGGCTGTCCCAGTTCTTTGCTTGTTCTGAGTGTTCTTGCTGCAGCCCCGAACTGTTATAGTCCTATAACCACCGAGCAGTACTGTTTCTGCTAAGTGATTATAGTTATGTAATCTCTGAGAGTCTGTCCCGGTCTGTTGCTTGTGCTGAGTTTTCTTGCTGCAGCCCTGAACTGTTATAGTCCTATAACCACAATGCCCGTTTTTTTGTTCGTGCAGGTTTTCATTGGAGAGCTCGGTGAATACTTGGATCCACGTCTTAAGACCAGGCTTCTTCCGTTCAGGTACCCGGTCGCTGAGCCGACGTCGACCCCAGGCCCGTCGAAAACCAAGCCAGGCAAGCGGCGAACGCCTCCTCCAGTTGTAGTCTCCCCGCAGACGTGTGTCGAGTCCTCGGCAACTCTAGAGAAAGGTTCAGGTACAAAGCCGAAAACTCCGAAAAAGAAAGTACTTGTGGAGAAAGCTGCGGTGTCTTCGAAAGGGAAAGGCAAACCTCCGCAAGACGAGCTGGGTACGGAGCCGAAACCTCCGAGTACCTGCGGCGAAAACTGCGGCGTCTTCGAAAGGAAAAGGCAAAGCTCCGCAAGACGAGCTTCAAGTTCCTCGAGGTCTTGTTCTCGGCGACTCACCGACGAGCTGACACGGACCTGGAACGAGCTGAAGAGTTTAAAGGAGAATAAAATTTCCCAAGAGCTTTTTTACCTGCCCATGTCGTGTCTTCGACGACCGCCGAAGGATGGAACGGGAAACAGGCCACTCGAGATTCGGGAGCCCGAAGACGACCATTTTTCCACAATCATGGATTCGATGATTACTTGCCCGACTGGGGATCATCTTCCCTTCATTGGTATCGTGGATCCGTCGGAGGTGAAAGATAAGAGGGACGTGGATGTGGCCCAGTTACGCAAGGGTGGCTACACCATATATGTTCTTGGAGGTGGACATTGCCGGGAGGCGAGGGAGCGCCTGCAGAAGATCTACCCTGACAAGGAGGATTACAAATGGAATGTGTGCTATGTCTATGCGGGTCTGACTACAGAAGAAGCGAGGCAGGTGGGTCACAAACACAATTTGGCAGCTGGCTACCACAGAGATTTGAACTTCATCGAGAAGATGAAATGTTGGCGTAACATCTTCGAGAGAATGGGGTCTGTGAAGAACGCTGAGGTGAAGTTGGCCTGCCTGCGGGAGTTCGGCATACCGTGTTCTACCAAGAAGCTGCAGAATAATGACTCATTGTTGCAGATCGCGATGCATCCCAAAGAGATCTGGGACCTGCAACTGCGGATTTTTGAGATGTGGCAGAAGGGGGAGGTCAAGAACCAGAAACTCAAGCCTCTGGCGAAAAGTCAGATCCGCACAGACGTCGCTCCAGAGTCCATCGAGTCGGAAGGTGGCAAGAAAAAGCGCGGGGCGAGAAAGCCGGACAGGGCTGTCGCAAAGCAGCAAGAGATGACGTTCTTCAATCCTCGCCTAAAATTGAAGGACAACAAAGTTGTTTCGGCCCCGGCTGACATGTCTGCGCAGCCGTGGATTACGATGGGCAATATCCCGCACGACGCTATCATCCCCATCTTGACGAAAGTTGTGTCCAAGCAGATCTCCCCGGAAGAGATGGAGAGGAAGTTCAAGGTCGTGAAGAAGTTTGGCTACGTTGCAAAGGCCTTCTGGGATGATGTCAAATGCAAAGACTTCAAAACCGCAGAGGAGTTGTATCCTTTGCACACCAAGAAGGAGGTTCTCGAGCCATTCATTGGGAGTTTTGAGAGGCGAGGGGCGAAACCCACTGCTTTGCTAAATCACACTGGACGAGCGAAGGAGTGGAGGAAGATGGAGGACAAGAGGATTAAAGATGCACAAAGAGCGAGTCACGATTTCTTCCGAGCGCATTCCCTGGACGACCCTTTCGCGGACTGGACCGACGTGAAGTACGAAGGGTGCTTGGGGCAGGTCAAGGTCATTCAAGGCGATATGTTGCATTTGGCACAGCTCCAAAAGGACAAGGTGCTGATTTCCCTTTCCATCTTCGATTTGCCCTACGGCTTTGCGCACAAAGGACACGCGCGTGACACGGAGTCGTTCCCGAAGAGTGACATTGTCGCTGTGCTCCAGAATGTCAAGGAGGTTTCGAGCGCATCGCTCTGGACAGTCGCTGCTTTCTGCTCTGTGGACATGCTATCCTCAGTGAGGTCCGCATTTGCGAAGATCTGCAATGCTGGTCAACAGCTTGTCACGTGGTGCAAGCCAAACACGACGAATCCCGGTGGCCCGAGACTTGTCAGCGCGACGGAGTTCTGCATTCTGGGGTACTACAATGTGACAGGCCAACGTGAGATGACGCATTACAACTTCACTCTCACCGATCCCCGCCACAACTTCCAACTTTTTGATGCGGTCACGCGAAAGTTTGTGCACCCGGCTGATGACAAGGTGCTTTGTCCGTACCAGAAAGCTTATGCATTGTATTCCTTGTTGGTCACACCAGGTGCCACCGTTTTGGACGGCTTTTCGGGCTTAGGTACGGGGGCCATTGCTTGCGTGATGGCGAACAGGAACTGTCTTGTCGTGGAGCTGGACAAGCGATGTGCGAAGGGAATCCGCATGAGGCTGCTCACTGACCTCGAAGGGACGTTGCAGAGAGAAAAGCCAAAAGAGGGGAAGGGCAAGTCGAAGGAACAACACCCTGATGCGGACGTTGAGGTGTCTGGGGATCACGACCTCGAGGTGGAAGAGCAACATGCTGAGGAAGCCACGGCGAGGGAGACTTCCGGCCAGGAGATGACGCAGGAGACGTGGGAGCCCATGCCGGGATTGATTGCAACCGAAGCCAATCTGCCGGCAGGATCTGACCAGCGTGAGGAACCGCCCGTGGCAGTACCTCCAGAGGAGTAGATGGCACAAAGCCAGGACTCAAGTCAAGCGATAGGGCCAGAAACACGAGGTCGTAAGAGAAAGATCGGAGGATAGGAGGCGGTCAGCTCCTTGTGATGGGTCTGTGCAGCAATGCTCGGTCGCGTGTGCGGAAATAAGCAAGGGCGCATATAGTTCTATAACTTGTTTTTGTTATAGAACTATATTTGAGACCGGGGAGTGCTGTTGTTGTCGTCGTCGCTTGTTTATGTTATAGAACTATATTTGAGACCGGGAACGCTGTTGTTGTCGTCGTCGCTTATTGTAGTCCTATATCGCTTCTCATATTTCTACACCCACTGTGAAAGACTTCTATATCTGAGACTGGGGACTGTGCGCACTTTTGTTTCGTCCTTAGTCCCGGATCTAGTGACGCTTGGATCAAGCCGTTTTTCCACTGTCGTAGGGATGTAGTCCTGTGTTCACTTTTGATGTGATGTAGTCCTCTACCCGCTTTTGCTGTGACGTGGTCTTGGATCCACTGTTGTACTAGTACTGGCTCTTGTCCTTTTAGCACTTTTAGCACTTTTACCCACCAGTGGTCATTCTACTCCTGTTTTGATGGCAAACATTTCTCTTTTTTTCTTTTTTTTTTTCTTTTTTTTTTTTCTTTTTTTTTTTTTAATTTTTTTTTTTGTATGTTTTTTTTTGTTTTTTTTTTTTTTTTTTTTTTTNTTTTTTTTCTTTTTTTTTTTTTAATCTTTTTTTTTAATCTTTTTTTTTCACTTTTTCTCTTTTTTGAGGCGGCTGTTGTGTCATTTTCCTTTTGGGTTTCAAGGACATAAGTCTTGAGTGAGGTTTTGTCATTTGTCCCGAGTTCTATTCGGACTTAACAATTTGTTTTCCATTTTCTCTTGGGGAATTGGTTGAGCACACAGGAACGTGGCTGGCTCCGCTGCGTCGTTTCCTGCCCGCTTTTTCGGGTGTCAAAATAGTTCGTTTGATACATTTGTGGTTCTGCTCGGTGTGATAGCTGAATGATTGTGGTCCTTTGCTCTGTGCGAAGCGTGCTGCCATGTCTTTGCTTCTGCTCACTATCGTTATTGGAATCATGCCCTGACAGTGGCGAGCGTCTCAGTTGCTTTAGTCCTGTAATCGTTCTCGTTGTTCGAGCTACAGCATCTGAATGATTGTAGTCCTGTAATCACTGGGGCGGGTCGTGCCACAGTCCTGGTTTTGCTCGGTATCGTTGTTGGAGTCGTGGCCTGACAACGGCGACCGTCTCAATTGTTGGAGTCCTTTACTCGTTCTCGTTGTTCGCCCTACAACCTGTGAATGATTGTACTCATCTAATTATTCTCATTGCTTGAGCTACAGCCTCTGAATGATTTTAGTCCTATGTTAATCACTTTGGCGGGTGGTGTCACAGTCTTGTTTCTGGTCCGTCCTCGAAATGGTTTGTTTGCAGCAGTCTGAAATCGCTACCAAACGCATCGTTGCTCTCAAACTAGTCCCTTGAATGTTGAACATTTGTTTTGACGCCTACTTGATACTGAACAAGGCCTTTTTCGCAAACATGTTTTAGAGTCCTCTACATATGGCCTCTTTGACAAACATGTTCTAAACAGTTTGCAAGCAGAACAGTTCACATTTGTGCACCTATCTAGATTCACGCTATGGATCCAATCCACTTTGCTAGTCGGACCTCGGCACGTCACTCGAGTACCCTGCTGCTATTGTAATGATTATGGATGAGGTGTTGGACACCGTAGACTCATTTCGCAAGTAAATATGGGGAGCTGGATTAGTATCTATCGCCAAGGATAACAATCACGTATCCCATGGTGATCTGGGTTGATGTCTGGAGAAATGGTGGTGCGGTGGATTATTTTTTTTCGATTTTTGTGCGGAGGAGTTCTGTTTCTCATTGATATTTCATTCCTACTGGTAGCTATCATGGAGGTGTGTTTAGTTCTGAACTTGTGCTCCTACTTCTCGTGAATAAAGGAGGAGCCTACTAGTGGTATTGATTCTCTATGCTTTCTCGGGACTTAATGGTGTCAAAGGAGTTGCAATCCTGAGTTGTATCTTGATTGGGCGTTTTGCCTTGGTATTTTTTTGATAGGCGAGTAGGTCGGGTGTTGTGTGGATAATCGGGGACTTTGACCTGAGGGTATTGGAGGCATGTCATTTTCAAATAGTCACGATCGCTGGTTGATGCACAACCTGTCAGCAACCTCTACTTGTGCCCTAAATAGCCGGATAGTTATTGGGGTGAGGAATTAGTTCGGCGCTCTGACGAATGCGATTTTTTGCAGAGTTTGTTGTGATGATGCTTGAAGTATGAGTGGATGACGGGAATTATCCCAATAATTGTTGAAAGGCTCTTGAGTATATTGGATGTTTACCTCTATTATCTCCTTTTCTCACTCTGCTTACCTCTGCCTCGCTCCCTTTGTAAGATACACTTCCACTACTCTACCTTTCTCCTCTCTCTCTTTTCTCTCCCTCTCTCTCTCTCTCTCTCCCCCTCTCCTTAACCTCTCGCGCTCTTTTTCTCGAATATATGATGCGCCCTCCTCCCCAGTACCTCTCCCGTCTTCTGAATCGTCTGACCACCCTTGTTATGATCGTAGCATCTGTTCATTTGAGTGTGCAATTGTATTTCTGACTAGATGCTTGTCATTGTAATAAATGGATGGTAAGCGTTGTGTGCTAGGACGAGGATGCACTCAAACATTTTTCTTCCTTCGCCTGCCCTTTGTGAAAGTAAAATGCCATAAGAAGAGTTGATGATCCCTTTCTTCTTTGGGCCCGAATTGCATCGAGCAAAGCTTTGCAGCCTGCCATGACTATGCTCGTGGGGGTTTAGTATCATATTACACACTCACAGGGCACTTGCGCCCGCCCGTTTGCCAGCAGGGAGGTCGACTCCCCCCTACCAGGTTGTATACAGTTGTTCGATGTGTGAGGCTTTAAATGGGGATAGTCACTTTTGGAATGATAATCTCCTCTGAAGGAATAGAGGATTTGACGTTTATTGTGTTTCCTTCCGACGGTATTACGCTCACTATTTGTTATTGTTTGCTATGTGACAAAATCCATCTTCTCACCGAACGGATGATACTGTGAGCTCATTCAGGGGGAACATGCGTGGATGGGGCAGTTTGACCCACCGTCCCGCCCGGCTCAGGCATTGATCTCTCTTGTGCATCCGAGGGTCATGGAATTCGTCAAGATCAATTCTCTCTATGCTCCTCCCCCCCATCCCCTGCTGATTTCTGTCCTGGCTTTCAATGACTGGGCTGACATTGTTTGGGCTTCCACGTATAATAAAGAGTCATTTCCACATATGTCTAGGGATTACGTCCTAGGAGCTAAGGAAATGCTGGATGAGGATATATTGGTTGACGCTTCGATCAGGGATGAGGTGTTGATGAAAGAAAAGGTTCTCATAGATTTGTGGAATGCAGTGTCGGAATTTCATGCGAATCTACTCCTCCCCTCCCCTCAGGAGCCTTATGGCTCGGATCCGAACTCTGATGAGGAGGATGGTCTGCCGCTCACTGAAGAGGAGAGGGTTTTTCATACTACGTTTGTGGCGGAATCAAGCGCTCAGCTAGCTGTTGGGTTAGCAAAGGAGAAAACAAAGGATGTCAACAAGTTCCTCCGAAATGTTTTTCTCCCAATCGCTCCGCCAAGATGGATTGAATCGGAGGCGAGGGCAAAGGGAGACAAGATATGGGATTTTGAGACCTTGAACCATTTGGGTCCCATTAGTGTTAACGCATATAGGCTATTGGCTTCTCTCACCGAGGAAGAAGTAAATCCCTGCCGTGAGCGAGCGCTCAATGAGAATACTGAGGTGATTAAGGGACCATATCCACGAACGGCGGATGCCATGAAGCTCCCAACGGTTGGACGGTTTGACCCTCTAAAATGCACTGTTTCCTCCACGAACCTTGCGATTAGAGGTTTTTATCCCCCCAAGAGACAGACTGGGCTGGCGGAGTTGAAGAGGATACGGAATGTGGGGAGACCGTATTTGAAGTGCCGTTGTGTGGAGTTGGGAAAGGGGGATTGTAAGATTAATGTAATGTGGTTTGATCACGTGCTTTGGTACATGCTTGCCAATCCGGATCTCATGTTTCCTGCACCCCCGACGCTCTGAGCGAAGATGAAAGCAATGAGGACTTTTTTGAAAAAGACTTGGCGGATGCCCATCCTAGCTAGTGTGGTTTTCATGGTGAAAATGACACATGTCGTAGTTGGTAATCTTGTCATAAGACAGGAGAGGATACTTGATGATGAGTCCCTCATGGTGAGGAAGTTTCTGAAGAAAATGGCTTCACTGTTGCTACCTAATCGCTACCTCAATAGTCCATCTAAGCGCAAGAGGCCCCTTGCCCAAGATGCTCGCCCTGCGAAGCGTCCTAATAGGACGATCCTGTCGTATTACGTCACGCCGCAGCAGGACCTGCCAGCAGATGAGGATGAGTGGCACATTGTTGGGAAAGCGCGTCTTGTCGTTGCTGCAACCCCGCCGGATTCTACAGTGTCATTTCAGGCTGACACTGTGAATTCTGCCTCCAACAAACAACCGTTGAGGGGCAACAGGGCTAGTGCACCGAGTAGGATATTGTTCCGTTTGTAAATAGACAGTGGTGAGGAGGGAAGGGCTTATGTCCCTGTATATAGGCATTTTTGTTATGCACTAATATTGCTTGATTGTGATTTGGTTAATGTGTGATATGCAGGGAGTAATGGAGGGGGAGGGCAAAATGGTTGTTGACAAGGTAGGCAAGAATAAGTGGTCAGGTGCTCCATCGCCACGAGCAGAGTTATACATCCACACTAAGTATGAGAACAGGGCAATGGAGGTTGTCTGATTCAGGTCCATTATTGAGATGGCTTTCGAGCGTTTTTTTTCGCCCACTGTGATTATCCTCCTTGCAGTTGTAGTATTAGGATGGACTTACCATGAGTCGCTTGATTCTCTCTTGTACATGTCATCTTCGGTGTCCAGGGACTTTGTTTTGGAGGAATGGCTCGGTTTTTGTATTGCCAGAGCTCATTGTCCTTGTGTGTTGAGCATATTCTGTCGTTTCCATGCCCCTGAGACTACCAATATGACTCAACCTTTCTCTACCCCTTCTCAACATGTTCTCACAATGAATTTTTCTGTTTCTCAAAATCGACAGTTGGCCTGGCTACTCTCCCAGGGGTTAAACCACATCCCCCCTCGCCCACGCTCTGCCCTTCGAGCGATCCAGTCCTTCCTTGCTTCGGGATCTCATTCGTCAACACATGCTGGGAAAGATGTTCATCCCGCCACCAGCAGTGAAGCTGGGTACTGCTTTTGTCAAAAAACAGCTTAACTTGCAAATCGCCAGTCTTGGTCTTAGACGACATTCGGACCCACCGTGTCTATTGGATACTAGTTCAGTAAGGGCTGAAATTAGCTTTTTAACAAGGAATTTGTTTGTGTCTAGAACAGACAAGGCGGCTAACACTCCATCATTTTCTTGCATGCACTTAGTTAGAAAGTTTGCCCTGGAAAGGTTATCTGGAGGGGACTTTGTGAGAACGGACCTTGATAGTATGAAAATCCTGTGTGAGGCCAGGGAATCTTTGGCTCGTGTTTCGCCAAGCATCATGCTTGGCCCTGAGAAAATTCCACACCTAATGGCCTTGTACAAACATCACAAGAAAGCTTTCAGATGGTTAACTAATGCTGCCGAAACTTTTCTCACTCCAGTAGCCTCCCTTTGTGACGAAGTGATTAAAGCCTTAATTTCCCTCGTTAAAACCCGTTGTAAGGAAGTGACTGATGGAATTCGTATCTTTCATGGGGTAGAAGCGACTGTCTGGTGGACCATTGATTCGATTCAGGATTATTGTTATAATCTGCTTGAAAATAATTTTACGGTTTTTTTGGGGGACATCACCAGGTGTTTTGAAACCATCCCCACTGGTTCTGATGAGGATGGTCTCCCAGTTGCCTTCAGGTTTTTCGTGGACATTGCTTGGAAGATTGTTGACGCAAGAAAAATTGGATCAATGATGAAGTGCAGGATTTTGAAGAATAGGGAGTTTGAATGCGCAATGGCCAGCAAGACGGTTGTCTGTGGACATTCCATAATCCTCCTAAGAAAGGATGATGAGGTAATCCAATTAGTTGATTGGGTCCTCTGCAGGTGCTACATATCGTTTAGGGGGGTGATTTGGAAGCAAGTCAAGGGAATTCCTATGGGATTGCCGTGTGCCCCTTCTCTCTGTAATCTCTATTTTTTTAAATATGAGTTTCAACTCATCATGCGCATTATTCGTAATAGAGCCTATGAGGTCATACCGATGTTGAAATATACCTACAAATATATAGACGACTTGCATAGCCTGAACAATCCGTTTACCCTCAAGTTTTTGGACCCTGACCAGCCGAGGGTGGATTCTAACATATTTCACATATACCCCATGCACTTGATTGATATCAAGAATCAGACTGAGGTGTTTGTGAAGCATGAGTCTGGCGAGGTGTATGACCTTAAGACCCAATTCCTTAATTATGAGATTTCGGTAATCTCCGACGCCACTGGCGCCAAATTTGATAAATGTCGCTCATTGAATTTTCCAATATGTAAATATGTGAAATTTGATTCCAACAGGCACATTCAACTATCTGTGAATATCATAATTGGCCAGACTGCAGCCGTATTACTTCTCTGCACCTCTTCGGATACTGCGCAAAGGAAATCATGCAGTTAGTCAGTGATATGGTGAATAATGATTTCGTTCTCAGAAAATGCCTTGCTTGTGTGTTTAGGGTCCTTAACTCACCTTCTTCGTACATGCTTCCTAGAACGGATGTTCAGGAGACTGCAGCAAGGTTCAAGGTATGAGACTTCTGAAGAAAAGACTCTGCTCGTCTGCAAACCTTGCATATGTTGGTGTTTCTGTCTGTGTGATGTCTACTTACCAGCCCGACCAGTAGGGCTGTTATGGTAGTTGGCTGGTACCTAGCCTCATTAAGGCAGGTACCAGTTACCTGCCTTAACGGTCCTTGGTCAGCCAACGAGGCAGGGGCGGGACACACACACACACACACACACACACATACGCGTGATTTACGAATATATGTATAGATAAGGAATGGTAAAATAATAATAAAAAATTGATGAGGACATACATGAGTATATGTAATTTTTTCAATAAAATGGGAATCGTAAGCATCATACGAGGATGCGGGTTAATATGCGTAGGATGGTGCAAGAAGTATGTCTTGAGTCTATTCAGTTTTTTCCCCCAGGAAGCTTGACGTTTAGTTATGTGTCATTGATCCTTTCCCTTTTTTAGAGGTCGACCTCTTATATCATAACAACTTGTGGTATGTTCACAATTATGGGTCCCCTTGATGGTAATGTGACTGCTAAATGGAAAACTGAAGCCGTTTTGCAACTGTTGTATTGAGCCCCACGACATGTAAAAGGGACAACCCCTTAGATTTCTCCCTTATAATACGAGCCGTAAAATTTATATGGTCGCGAAAATTGGAGGCTGTCATGGTTTGGATGAGGTACCCCAATTCTTGTGGGCCTACCTCGGGCGAACCTCTCTGCTTTAAAAAAAAATGGTACTTGTGCCTTCGAAAACAGGCGCGAATTTGAGTGAGTATTGAAGGCCCCAAAACAGAACTACGTCGTATGAAGAGTTGCTGACGTTCCAAGTATTTATCGGGTGACTCAGAGTAGTTAGGCCCTCTCTCATTGGTGGACTTGAGGGCAGCGGTTCTCATAATGATGATTCTGCCTCCTAAAGTGTCACCACTGGCGCTTGGTTGATTAGTTCGACGATACTCCCACGCGCGTTTGCCGGTTCCAGTCTGCGCCATCGCTCCTGATTTCTATCTCTCTCGCTGTCTCTCTCTCTTTCATCATTTTTTTCTCATTCTCTCTCTCTCTTTCCCTCCCTATCTCCCTCGCTCGCACGTTCTTTTGTCCCGTCCTCCTCCTCTCTTTCTTCCGCTTGCCTACCTGCTAGTGTTCTCTCTTTTCTTCCTCTCTCGCATCCTGTTTATTCAGCATTTCTCTCTACAAGCTTCCTCCTGCTTGCCTATGTGATTGCTGGAGTTCGACCAATTACGTTTTCTTCGCTTGCTCGACGGACTGCGAACATGACTGGAGCATCGTCCTCTTTGACTATGCGCCCTGCGGTAATATGAGCGAGCTCTAAGATTGTCATGCCCGCCACCCACCCCCTCCCCGTCCTTGTGTCATCTCTATCCCTGATGTGCTCGAAAGCACCCAGTCCCCTTCGGAGCGCTAACTAAGGGTTTTTTTCTTCCCCTGATGAGCCAACCCTGGTGGGAGTTGGCGAAATGGCCTTTGGGAGTCCCCACTACCCCCCTTTGTTGCGCATCTTCTTTTTTTTCCCATTTTTATTATAAGTACTTGATGTTACCTGACCATGTTGCATGTGAAAAAAACCTGCTTTGTTTCTGTATAATGTTTTTCTTGTAGGAGCTCGTTGCTGCTTCTGGTTTATCTTGAGGCATTCTTGATAGATGGAGGGAGCCATTTTTGTTCTTGGCATCGTCGTCGTCTGGTCAATACTTTTTGGATACCTAGCCTTCATTTTCCAGTTAGAGGACTGAGTCTCTCGTCTCAAGGCTTGTTGCTGTTAGTTTTTGATACATAATAATTGCTTTATTGCTACTGGAGTCGGGGGAGGTGTTTGGCGTAGGAATGGCTGGATGGATGTTTCATGGGGGAGCTTGATTAAGATGGGTGGTGGTGGTGGCTTTCGTCATCCTGACGACATCCTCGCTTGTTTTGTTTTTTTCAGTAGGGGCTGATAATCGCAATAATGATGGTGGAATGTGCTGGATAAGTGTTCCTCGTGATTACATGAGGGTGGGTGACATAACCCTGGTTGTAGTTTACCTGGCCTTCTTGGTAGTTATCATGATGCTCCTTGTAGTCGGTGACGAGCGTATGGCTCGAGTACCCTGTTGCTATTGTAATGATTATGGATGAGGTGTTGGACACCGTGGACTCGTTTCGCAAGTAAATATGGGGAACTGAATTAGTATCTATCGCCAAGGATGACAATCACGTATCCCATGGTGATCTGGGTTGATGTCTGGAGAAATGGTGGTGGGGTGGATGATTTTTTTTCGATTTTTGTGCGGAGGAGTATGTTTCGGTTTCTCATTGATATTCCATTCCTACTGGTAGCTATCATGGAGGTGTGTTTAGTTCTGAACTTGTGCTCCTAGTTCTTGTGAATAAAGGAGGAGCCTAGTAGTGGTATTGATTCTCTATGCTTTCTCGGGAATTAATGGTGTCAAAGGAGTTGCAATTCTGAGTAGTATCCTGATTGGGCGTTTTGCCTTGGTATTTTTTTGATAGGCGAGTAGGTCGGGCGTTGTGTGGATAATCGGGGACTTTGACCTGAGGGTAATGGCGGCATGCCATTTTCGAATAGTCACGCACAGCCAGTCAGAAGCCTCTACTTGTGCCCTAAATAGCGGGATAGTTATTGGGGTGAGGAATTAGTCCGGCGCTCTGACGGATGCGATTTTTTGCAGAGTTCGTTGTGATGATGCTTGGAGTATGAGTGAATAACGGGAATTATCCCAATAATTGCTGAGGTTCTTGAGTATATTGGCTATTTACCTCTATCATCTCCTCTTTCTCACTCTGCTTACCTCTGCTTCGCTCCCTTTGTGAGATGCACTTCCACTCCTCTACCTTTCTCCTCTCTCTCTCTTCTCTCTCTCTCTCTCTCTCTTTCTCTCTCTCTCTCTCTCTCTCTCTCTCTCTCTCTCTCTCTCTCTCTCTCTCTCTCTC